CTGGGAATATTCTTTTTTCTTGACTAGGCTGGTAGCTGCATGAATGTTTTGACAACTCACTGAGCTACAGATTTATGTCTGTTCATTTTTATGTGTGTATACTTTGTAATAAAAATGTCTAAATATAAATAAACATCGCCATTAAGAAGACAGATACCAAGCTACACGGGTCCTGCTATAATGTGTGCCCTGTTTGTTTAAAATACAATTTGAGACCCAATTCAGCTTGCTAGAAGACTTGAAATATATCACTGTTTTATTATTATTTTGTTGCTTGATTAATCAAGCCAAATGCTTAGCTACATATAAATGCTAACAGGACAAGTGAAGTTACTAAGAACAAGGAAAAGGCTAGTCTCACTGCCATGGAGCAAATATATAATATATAAGGCCACTTGAAATACATATATAAGGCAGCTAGATGCTGGACTGCCTAAAACTAAAAAGTAAGTGATAACATTAAACAGGGAGGAAAAAACTAGAAAGCCTACAAATAATTCACAATTGGTGAGGTTAAAATGCAGGTGAACTAGAAGTACAAAACTTCAACTTACGCATTATAAATAGTATATGTACTGTGAGAGTTGCTAGGAAACCATTTCATTTATCTGAAAGTAGTGAAGAAGAAATAGTAGAAAAAATGAAGGTGGACGGACCCCAATGAGTTTGGCTGTACCTCCAGACAAAGAGCTTTCCTACTGTCTGATCTTTCAAAAGCAAAGGGACATGATCAGTCTTTTAAGTGCTAAACCTGGCATTTACTTCAAATGCTGAGAAGTAATTACAAATAAATAAATAAAAGCAATGGCCAGAGACAGGTAAAATCTAACAAGAAACTATCTGCTCTGTTTCTCATTTACTAGGGGAAAAAAAAAATACTAAATCCTAGTTCTAATTGTTTTTTGGCAAGGATGTCATCTGAAAGGATAATTCTGAAGGTTAAAAAAAAACCTGATTTATAGAAAAGAAGCAATTATAATAAATTTTTATTAATAAACTCCTACCATCTCCTCAACTTATGCTGCTGGGAAAATGTACTATCTACATGCAAAATAATGGAGCTGGACTACCTGTGGTGGTGAAGTTTGTGTGTCAATTTGGCTGGGCCTGGTTGAGTGGCTGGTCAGCTGGTGGTAGTTATTCCCCATGATGAGACTGGCAATCAACTCCATGGTGAGACCTACCACAAGCAGGTTAGTAGCTGCTTTAGGGATGTGGTCTGCTTTCCATATATAAGAAACAGCTTTGGAAGTGGTCTCTAGCTTATGGCACGCTTGAACCCTGCATGCAGCTGAGTCTTTGTTCAGCAGCCTGCTATGCTCTGCCAATCCTGGGACTTTCAACGGACTTGAATCAATGGCCTGCCATTAGTTTGGTAACACTGGGACTGTGCTATTTTGTCTGTCAATCTTGGGCTTGTCAGCCTTAGCAGCCAGTAGCTAGCTGCCTTAGTGAAGAGATGCCTCTAGCTTCAGTAGGAGTAAGAGGTAGAGCTGAAGCTCAAGATCGAGGGGCTTTACCCAGCCCCTAGAGCCTGGCACTTTGAACTCAAGACTTCTAGCCTCCTGAGCTGTAAGGGAATAAATTCCTATTTGTTCAACCTATCCCATTTGTGGTATATATTCTTATCAGAGCAGCACTAGGTAACCAAAACAACTACCTTAATCATCTACAAAAATTAACTCAAAATGGATCAAAGACTAACTTTAAGAGCTAAAACTATAAAATTCTAAGAAGAAAACACAGGGGAAAATTTTCATTATCTTGAATTTGAAAATGGTTTCTTAAATATGACTCCAAAAACTCAGACAAGAAAAGAAAAATTAAAGTGTACTTCAACAAACTTACAAGAGAATACTACCAAGAGTGTCAAAGACTACCCTCAGAATCTGAGAAAACATTTGTTAATTATGTACCTGAGAAGAGTTTACGATCCAGAATATATAAATAACTTTCACAACTCAACAACAAAAAGACAAGCAATCAGTTTAAAAATGCACCAGCACAACAGTTGGTCCCAGACAGAATGGGAAAAAATATTTTACTTTGAAAAAAAAGTGAGACAAATAGGAACAGTAGAGAACAAAGGACTCCCTCAGACTATAGCCCTGAACTGAGTCCATCCTCTAAGATCTCCTTGTAGTGAAATAGCAAAGTAGGACAAAAAATAAGGATATTACCTTAAGATCTGTGCCTTTTTAAAGACCATCAGTACAAGATCAAAAGGTCAACAATTTCTTAAATGTAAAGATGAAAAGATAAGGGGACAGGGAAACAAGAGGACCATTAAAGGAATAGAAAGAGCACAATTAAAGAGAATGCTAACGCCCTGTATTAAATATAACTAAGTTACTGAACAACTGTGTGGAAACTGTCTAACAGGAACTTAGCTTGCTCTGTAGATTTTCACCAAAAACCAATAAAATACTTCAAAAAAACAAAGGCCAAACCCATTGTCTTGGAGTCATTTCTGACTCACAACAACCCTGTAGGACAGAATAGAACTGTCCAGTGTTTCCTAGGCTGTAAATCTTTACGGAAGCAGACTGCCACATCTTCCTACCATGGAACAGCTGGTGGGTTTGAACTGCTAGTACTTCTGTCAGTAACTGAGTGTTAAACCACTATGTCACTATAGCTATTAAAAATGGGCACTGAACTGTGCACCCAAGAGATAGACAGATGGTAATACCAACCAATGTGTCCACAATACCACACTGCCATTAACACCAAACACTAGGCTATACATAAACACCTGAGATGATCAGACAGGGTCAGTGAACAGAGGTATACTCTAGACCAAGGATAGATTCAGCTGAGGCTAATCTTGCACAGACACCAGTGATACAAATACCTGCAGTCCTTACAGAAACAATAGAAGACAGACACAGAGTAATCTCTCACAGACATCCCAACACTATGGGAGAGAGATCCAATAGATCTACTACCTCAGGACCACAGTACTGGGGGACACCAGACTCAATTGGCACAACAAAATACATAAAAGCATTGCTCCACATCCTACATTGGTGAGTAGCAACTGGGGTCTTAAAAGCTTTCAAGCAGCCATCTAAGATGCAGCTAACAGTCTCCTAGCGTCAGAAGTGAAGAAGAATGCAAAAAAAAAAAGGGGGGGGGGCATTTAGAAGCAATCAGCCCTAGGATACAACGGCCCTCGAGCCCAGAAGAACTGGATGGTGCCCAGCTACCAATGCCAACCACTCAGGAAAGGATCAAATCTGGAGATCCTGGATAGAGTGAGAGAGAAAACATGTTACAAAATCCAGAAACTCAATAATGACCAGAATTACTGGTCAGATGAGATCTGGTGAGACTCTCAATACTATGGCCCTAGAATACATTCTGCCCCTGGAATAAAACTCACCCCCAGGGGCGAGCTCTCAGCCTAATAGTTAACAAGATGTACATGCAGCCTACTCAACTCAGGATGCCACACCCACATACTCAATGGTAATACATCCCTTAGAGCAATGGACCATGGGACACCAGAGGACCAACATTCAAACTGAGGAAATGCAGGACAAACAGGAGTGCATAATTATGAGGGGCACAGAAGGAGGGTAGGAGACTGAGTTAGAGTTGGGGAAAAAAAAATGGGCAAAGGTTTTGAATAGGCACTTTTTTCGAAAGACATACAAATGGCCAGTAAGCACATGAAAAGATGACTGACATCATCAGTCATCAGGAAAATATGAATCAAAATCACAATGAGATATTACTTCACAACCTCTGCCAACACAAAAACAAAAACCCAACCCATGGCCATCTAGTCAATTCCAATTCACAGTGACCCTCATTGGGATTCCAAGGCTGTAAATTTGAATGGAAGTAGATTGCTTCATCTTCCTCCCATGGAGCAGCTGGTGGGTTTGAACTGCTGACCTTCTGATTAGCAGCCAACTGTCTTACCTACTATACCACCAGAACTCCTAGAATAGCTACAATATAAACATTTTTCATAAAAGGAAAGTAACAAGTGAGACAACCATGCAGAAAAACTGAAACCTACTGCTGGTGCGAATGTAAAATGCTGCTGACACTGTGGTAACTAGTTTGGTGGCTCCTCAAAAAGTTAAAACACAAAAAACTACCCAAATGACCCAGCAATTCCACTCCAACATATATAACCAAAAGAACTGGTAACAGGGACTCAAACAGGTAATTTGTATGGGACCGTTTATAGGCACATTATTCACAACAGTCAAAAGGTAGTAACAACTCAAATGTCCCTCAACAGGTAAATGGAAAAAGAAAAATATGGTATATACATATAATAGAAAAATATTCAGCCACTGAAAGGAATGAAGTCCTGATAAATGTCACAATGTGGCTGAACCTTGAAAACCTCCTAGACGAAATACAGCAGACACAGAAGAACAAATACTGTAAGATTCCACCTTGATGAAATACCTAAGCCACTGCCATTGAACTGATTCCAACTGATAGACTCTATAGGACAAAGTAGAACTGCCCCACAGGGTTTCCAAGGCTATAAATCTTTATAGGAGCAGCTGGTGGGTTCAAACCGCTGACCTTTCGGTTAGCAAGCAAATGCTTCAGCCACTGTGCCACCAGAAGAAACAGCAATAAATTCAGAGAGATAGAAAAGAGATTAGAGTTTACTAGGGGCTGAAGGTTGGAGGGAGTGGGGAGCTATGCTTAACTGGCAGAGTTCTGTTTGGAGTGATAAAGAGTTTTGAAAATGAACAGTGGTAATGTGGATATTATTAATGCCACTTAATTGTACAAGAAAATGTTATCAAAATAGCAAATTTTTGGTTATATATTTTACCACAAAAATAAATAATATAAATTCATACCAAATAAACAATGAGTTAGGAATTTCTAATCCTTTTACCCTACAGAAATGTATGGAAGCCTAAAGTCACTGGTAATATCAGATACATTTTCAAATTCTGAATTCAGAGAAATTTTCTCTAAATGTTAAAAAGGAAGACTGCTTTAGGTGAACTTCATACCGTAAGGTTTTTCTTCTGTTACTTTCCCTGTAGAATCTAGTGTATCAGTAGCTTTCCCCAATTCTCCAATGGCAATATATCTCTAAAGGAAAAAGGGAGAAAAATAGGCCATAAGGTAAAGAAAGTACTAGCTATATGCATCTTCAAGTTTATACAGAATTTGTTAGTACAGCCAACGCAATACAAAATTAAGGCAAAAATATGAGACAGCAACTGTTTGTTTTTGATATGTAGGAAGCATGGGTACAAACTAAGGACCGTTCAGAACGCCCACACAAGACAACATGAAAGAAACGCTTGATTTTATTGACAATTAGTGCTTAAAAACACTAAAACAAATTTTCTAAAACCAGTTTCAGATTGGGCAGTTTTTTTTTTTTAATGAAAATTCTCAAATATACCCAAGTAGAAAGAGTGATACAGTTTGCACAATTTTGAGCCACCACCAGTTTGCACAATTTTGCCATACATGATTAAAATACAGAAATAAATCAATTTAGAACTTCTTATATGACACAAATCTTAGTAACTACTAGATCGTATCATACATGCACACAAAAATTAATATGGAGAAAATAAGCAAAACTAGTGTGACAGAGGTAGCATACTGTATTTCCTTAATAAAGAGAAATTAAATTCATACTTCTTAAACTCTCAGAAAGAAAAAAGTCACTTCTACAAACCGATAATTATTCACACATAAAGAACAATTTCTTTTAGTTAACTGAGAACAGTCTTACTTGTCATCTCAGGGCCGACTTGTACTACCTATTTTTTCACTATTCTCTTTTGGTCAAATTCAGATTTTATTTGGTGTATCATACGCAGTAGGAGCTCTGGCAGCATAGTACCTAAGGAATCTGACTACTAATCAGAAGGCTTGCGGTTCAAACCCACCTGACTCACAGCACATAACAACAACATGCACTAGGAGCCCTGGGGGCTGAGTGGTTAAGTAATAGGCTGCTAGTCGATGGTCTGAACCCACCAACCGCTCTGTGGGAGACAAATGTGGCAGTGTGCTTCACAGCCTTGGAAACCATAAGGCCTCTGATGGCTCTGTGGTTAAAGCACTGGGCTGTTAACCACAAGGCCAGTGGAGACCATATAGGGCAGTTCTACTCTGTCCTAGTGTTCCTATGTGTTGGAATCAACGTACATGAAGTAGTGAGAAAACGGGAATATAGGTTCTACTAAAAACAATTTGTAATTATGTGGGCATTTTTTAAAGAGGGAAGCTCCAACTACTTTGCAGAAATACATTCATCAATGACAAGCTCATTATGCTATGAAGGGACCAGGAGCAAAAATGAGAAAACTATTAAAAGTTCATATTCCCATAAACGTGCAGGCATTTTATGTCAGCCTTTGATGACATCACCTTCAAATAGTGCAAAATTACTTTTTTTCAAATACAACACAGGAAAAAAATGTTCTGATGCATTTGAATTTGTTTTTTTCACTTCATTAAAAAATTAGTTTCTGGTAATTAAACATCGTCTCATCATGTCAGATACCCACTCTTACTGCTATATTCAGAGCAGTTACCTTGCTCAAGGACTTAAGCTGCTGCGGGAGAAGTGTAGCACAGTGGGTGGGAAAGGCACAGCCTGAGTGGAAAACTGGCTGGGTATGAAGAGGAGACACCACAGTCAAATTAGGCTCCTAAAAGAGCCTTATTTTCTTATCTTAAAATGAGAATAACAATAGAACCTTTAAGAAGCAAAGGGTTTAGAACAGTACCTGGCCCTAGTAAGCAAAGGATAACAATACTATTATTACTTTACTTAAAAAAAAAAAAAAAACTGATTCACAGGAACAGTGGTGACAGTGACTCATCTGGTCACACTGAGTTCCCTTAAGTAATGCAATTTTGTGTACAATGTGGCTTATTTAAGGAGCTCTGGTAGCGTAGTGCCTAAGGCACTTGACTGCTAACCAGAAGGTTGGTGGTTCAAACCCACCAGCCACTCCTCGGAAGGAAGGTTGTGCCATCTACTTACTTCGTAGTGATACTTAAATGTTCAAACCAACCCAGAGGTGCTTTGCCTCTGAAGAAATACCTGGCAATCTGCTTCTCAAAGGTCACAGGCATGAAAACCTTGTAGAGAAGTTCTACCTTGCACACAGGGGTCACCAGAGTCAGTGCTGACTGACAGCAACTGGTGGGAGTAGTGGTGCTATGTGTTAAGTTGTACCTAGGACCCTAACACACTTTCCAAGTACTCAAAGCACATTCAAGTTCAAGATTCCTTCCAGTGCCAAAATATTCAATAACACCTTAACTACTTTTGATAAAAACTGAATCTTTATACACTCCTTGGAAAGAACAATCATGGGAGAAAGAAGGGCTGCTTATGCACCGGGAGACAGCTAAGGGGGCAGGAGGGCATGGAGGAATGGACACAGGGAAGAGGTAACTATCAGGAGAAAGTGGGAGGGGAGCTGTTGCATTGTGGTAAATTGTGGTCAATGTCATGAGACAAAGTGTATGTGAACTGCTGTATGGAAAAGTGAATTTGTTCTGTAAATCTTCACCCAAATCACAATTAAAAAAGTAAAATAAAATATGAAAAATAGAATTGTGGAAAAAAAAAACCTGAATCTTTAACATACTTAAAAGTAAAATTTAAATAATTTAATTCTTTCAACAAATACATTATCTAAAATTAGAAGTGTGAGAAATACAAATAGCTAACCAGACACTAACATATTTTTGAAACACGAAACACTCACGAACTAGGTTTCTGTAACAAGATGCACCTGGGATTTTCTATTTATGTTATACAGTCACCAAGGAGCAGCAACTCATGGTCTGACAGTTTTCCCAGCTGAACACCAAAATGGCTCGTGACAAATACAAGCAAGACCAAAGCCAATGATGTATTTACATTTTCATCATATTTCTGGAAATAAAATTTTAAGTAACACTGAGCATGTGTGCGTGTAGTTTTGGGGAGAGAAGTATGAATGAATATTCCCATGAACTCAACATATTTCATCTTGGGGAAATAAAAACACCAATATTCCTAAACGTAACTGTATCTTTCCTGTCACTAGTGTGAAACTGATTTGTTTATTGCAAAGATTCTGGAAAACTACAAATAATATGGAAAAAAATACAAATCATCCATAATCCTATGGCAAAGTAACCATTTATGTTTAAGAATTAAGAAATATTAAGCAACCAGTAAAAAATCTATCAGAAACAGATTTAAAACTCTGCATTTGAACAGTGTACAAATTCACTCTGACAGTCAAACTCCTCCACTCAGTAACAAAACTTCTGTACATATTTTGTTTTTTTTAATCAACATTTTAAAAATTACAGAGGAAGCCATACTGAATTATTTTCATATTTCTGAGACACTGATACTTTTCAACAGAAGGAAAAGGTTTTTAAGTTTACTTAGGTCACTGCAACTGTGGTCCATGGACAAGCTAAATTAAAAAAAAAAAAAAAGGAGGGTATTTAAAAACTTATCCAATATGACACTGCACAGCAATTATTTATATTTTACAAAAGCCCTCAATCAGTCTGCAAGGAAGTGGAAATTTTAAAAAAATAGTCTTTCACCACAGATTTGTTTAAAAGAAACAATTTAGATAAAATCTGTTCACTTTACCAATGGCTTACATCCCATGTAGAGCGAGAGTTTTAAAACAAACAAAAAGTTTTGTCCAGGAACTTGATGAAATTCTTCTAGCATCTGCTGGCAACTTCATCTTCCTTCCACAGGCATTTTCACTACTCTTAACTCCAACTATTATACTCAACACCTAGTCGCTAAGTAGAACACAGATAGTATTCTCTCTCTGGAGCTAGAAAAGACCCAAGAGGCATCCAAATAATTTTCCCTAAGGAAAAGCTGAGAGGCCCAGAGAGGTAGACTACTTCGACATCTTGACTTCTATTTCCACACTCCTTCCACCGTGCTGAGAGTAACTCACTGAACACCAGCTGCCGTCCACAGGTTTGCGCTGCCTCTGTATAACCCCAACCCTCTCCTATCACATGCTTTAAAAAGGGATTTTTTTTAATTTAGTCAAGGTTACTGTCAGAGATGAAAAACATAACTTATCATTTTAAACAAGCTGCATTCTTTTCTCTAATACACATTTTTTAACCATTTAACAGAGGACAGCGGCAGTTCAGTGGTAGAATTCTCACTCTCCACATGAAGACCCAGGTTTGATTCCAGGCCAGTATCTCAGCACAGCGACTCCTCCGTCAGAGGAGGCTTGCGGGATGCTGAACAGGTTTCAGAGGAGATTCTGGACTAAGAGAGACTAGGAAGAAAGACCTGGCAATCTACTCCCAAAAGTCAGCCAATGAAGACCCTACAGGGTGAACTTAGCTCACAAAAGCCGTTCGACAAATCACGTGTTTTGTTGGAAAATATATGGTTTTACAAAATAATACTATTACTATATACATTTCCAAGTTAAAAAAAATCTGCCAATTAATGATCTTTAACTTCCCTTACATCTAAGAAATATGATTATATAAAAAAACTAAGTACACTTTTAAAAAAATTATGGGCACTGCAGAATTTCTTTTTCTAAAAGTTAATTTGTTTTTCAAGAATTTCTAATTTATAGTCTTACTATTTTAAATTTCAGATATCAGAATTACAGACATTGTGATTAATAATGACATTCATTCACGCAAGTGTTTTAATGACCAGTTAAAAAATAAACTGACTTAAAATCCAACACAAAGGTCACTAAAACATTAAAAAAAGAAATTCAAAAACTAAAAAAAAAAAACCAAAAACCCCAAACTATTCTAGTATTCTTACCTTGGTCCCTGATAGCATGCTGGTCAACATTTTTGTTCCCCTGCCAACTCCAACCACTACAAATCAAAGAAAGAAATATTTATGACACTCCATTCTGTGAACTGCTTTTTAAATACCTACATTCTAAAAATCATAATTTCTTGTCATATATAATGTGAAGTTAGAAAGAGCATATTTTTAACATAAATTGAGACCATCTATTACTCCAATTAATTGAAGTTGTCATACAACTAAGAAATCTAAAAGAAATGGAGGGGAACAGAGATAAATTTTTTCTATTCTCAATGTGATATCACAATAGAAACCTCAACCCAGCCAATTACACAATGAAAAATTTAAAACAATCTCAGAAGATTCATCTAAATTTTATAGGAGTGTCAGTGAAAAATATATGGTACAATTAACCATGTTTGACATCTTTTGACAGAGCTCATTATTAAACAAAGCAAGTCATCATCACAGCTAATGGATAACCCAAAGATGATCAGTGCAGCATACAATCAAGGAAATCAACCAAATTCAAAGAATACAGAAAAAAATGAAAGGGTAGAGAATGTGTTATAAACAAGCATAAAATACAACAGTGGCCCACTTGTCTCTTAATTTCAAAGACTTCGACATCTTCCAACAGGTAAGGCTGAGAGGATTTAATCATTTCTTCACTTAACAGCAGGCAAATTTTTATAAAATCTGAAGTAGTTACCATTAATGGATACAGGTGTGTATAACCATCACAATTTAGAATCACAAGAAGAAATGAGAAACAATTGGCAAGTTGAAGGAATTACCATCAATATTTATAATCACTACTCACTATTTGGGAGCTC